AAAGTGCCTGCTCTGAGGACCTTGCAGTCTAATTTTTAAAAGTGTAATGTAAACAACAGGACCTGAGAGAAGGGAGTAGAAATAAGAGACAATATTTGAGTGACATGATGTCAGAGTCAATGGGAAAATGGAAGAGGTGAAAGTTATTAAACAGACTCTTTGCTCTGGTGTTTTTTCCAGGGTGAAATCCGAGCATTAGTGACTCCATCAGTTTTGCTGGAGCCAGGGTTTCCTCTGCAAGATTTCCCTGAGGGTTTCTCATTTGTCTTTTTGATATCATTATCGTTCTACGCCTTCAGTCTTTTACAGTAATTGCTTGAAAGCATGCAAAATTAGCTTAAGGAAATCCAATTTGTAAGGAAGAAAAAAAAAGGACTCTGTATTAGGAAGTGCAAATGGGCAATTTCCAGTATATTGCATGCAGACGGTCAGCTAAGCCTGGTGATGATTCATAGTATCGCATCCCTAGTCCCTTGGTTGGCCATGGGCTGCAGTGTTCCCTTTCTCCCTGACATGCTCACTCCACTCCCTTGACTGCAACCTGCTAAACTCCTGTTCCTTCTCTTACTCTCTGACCTTATTGCCTTCCTCTAGAATCGGTTTTCTTCACCACAAGCCTAGACTGCCCTCCCTCAGTTTTCCCCACTTCTCCATTCCTTAATCATCCTGTGCTGTCTAAAAGATATTTCCAATAACTCCCAGGTCTTCATGGTGGTCTGTTTTACTCATCACTTTGCCAGAACCCCTGGCACGCTGTACTTTGCAGTTTAAATCGTAACACAGTTAGAAGTTAATCTATTTTATTGATTCATTTCCATCTTACTCTCCCCAAACTGAGCTCAAGATCAACTATTCTCTAAATTCCTGCTTCTCTGAAGAGGCACTAGGGGCTGTGCACTGCCTGGGGTACCTGTGGGGCCAGGCAGCCCATTCGGGTACAGCCACAGTTGTGCCTTCTCCCCAGGCCTGTGGGCTCATTTTATACATCCCAGTGAGGCTGTGGGGTTTGTGGATGAAGAGGAGGGCTCTCACCAACAAATGCTTTCCTGTGAGGACTCACTTTGGAAGCAAACCAAACTGCAGGTTAGTCTGAAGAAAAAAATCTGGACTGGTTTTAGGAGCTCTTAGGAAAGGCTGGCCTTTAAAAGTAAAAGTCAGCTTTAATTCCTTTCAAGTGGCACTGTGATATCTGACCTTAGCCATGCCTGGCCTCAGTGCCAGTCACAACGAGAATCCTGACTTTCCTGGAGAGCAAAAAGAAGGAATTCAAGATGTCCGAGACGTATTTGTATGGACTAACCTTACCTAAGGGGAAAAGTAGGCTATTTTTTTTCTGTAGTCATCAAGGAAGGAGATGCTCTTCTAGAGAATGATCCCAGGCAGTTGCCTTCTGAAGGAGCTACTGTCCTGGGAGAGCCCAGGGGATTTGCCTTATGGGGCTAGAATTAGAGTTTCTGAATACATCACCCCTTGTCACTTTTATCTAACTGTAACTGATTTACTGAGCCTTAGCCCATTAAATAACAAAACGCTGGAAAAACCCGAAATCCCCAGGAATAGCTGCTTAACAATGTGTGAGTAAAAGCTGTAGACATTAATGGCTTAGCTGGTTTTTAGTGAGCTTAATATGAAATGAGGTGAACAAATATGTCAGAGGTGAGAAGTCAGAAGTGAAAAATGAGCCGGATTTTCCCTTTCCATTGTGCTGTGAATTCTTATGTCCTTGTTGCACTGCCTTGTGTTTGTGCTTCGTGTCATGTGCCTGAAGTTTTACACTGAGTTCCTTATTTCAAGGAAGAACCTCGTTAGTCTGTGGCAGGTTCCTTCAACTACTGTGGATCATGCCTGGAAGTCAACACACTCCATGTTTACCACAAGTCTGGTCCCGATGAGCACCACATGTAGGAGCTCTGAAGTACAGCTTGTCGCTGTCTCTTTAGTCATACACCCACTTCTGGGGTCAGAAGAGTGAAAATTAGCAAAGAAAATAGGAGTCATTCAAGCCTTGCCTGGTTCAGCGAGCTAAATCTGCCTTCTAACAGTCACTATACGTACAGCTTCCCCTGCTTTCCTCTCGGTGCGTTGAACAGCCTCGCTGAGATGTCCCAGAATGGTACCTGTTAGCGACAGGCCTTCCTCTCTCCTGCTTGCTCTGCCATTGCTCAGACATCCCTCTGTGTACTCAGGGGGCTTCTGTCTCCCCCATCACTGTGGTGTCTGCATACCGTAACCCTCAGTTAAGAGCTGAGGGAATCGTAAGGACAACGCAGCTAAGCGATTTAACCTGGGGTGAGAAGTCAGCAATGAAGCATTCATCACAGTCTTCCCCAAGGTCACCTCATTACTCTTGAATTCTTTTATAGACAGGGATGCACAGGATGCTGTGCTACACTGTGCAAACGTACATGCTGGAGGCTTAGGTGATGAAGGGAGACCAAAGAAGCGAGCTGGCGTCAGTGCTAGAGGATGCACCGACTACTAGATCAGCTCTACATGAAATAAGACTTCTGGCACCAGATAATTGAATCAGGGTTTCACAGGCAGTCTCTCTGCCCTTTCAGGATGATCTTTATTAAATATATTCTGCACTGGAGCCTTCATTTCTGTTCTGCGTGGCATATAATCTCCTAACTTCATTTACCAAATCATCTGCATTAGAATAACACTAGCGCTGGTGTTGCCTAACAGCTCTGCCAGCTTGATGTCCTCAGGGAACTGGAGGATGGCTGAACCTTTACTCAGATGGTACAGGTCTGTGGACTTTCTGGAAACTTTGGCAACCTATTGATATGCAGAGCTGAGGAATTCTTCCCTATTTCATGCTAGTCATGATGCAGCTGGAATCTTAATATATTTTTAATTTTGGAATTCACTATATAAAGGCTTTTTGAGGATGATGTAGACGGCAGGTTAAAGATTGGCTCATGTGAACTTAAACCAGCTGTTTCTTTAAAGACAGCCCGTTCCGTATCAAAGAAAAGTTAAACAAACAAAGTGATCAGGACAACTCCTTCCCCACGTGCTCGGCTGTGTTGAAAGGAGAAGCAGTATTCTGAGAACAGAATCTTTCCCTCTCCCCTCATGTGACAGTACAGTCGGTACTTAGCGAAGACACAGCGGGGAAATGCTTCCTCTTTTTAAATAAGGGAAGCCAACCTCTCAAACTTTCGGAGACGATGTTCTTGCACATCTCCTTCCTGCTTTGATCTGCAAAGACTGTGCCTCTGAATACCCAAGGTTATTTTTTTTTTCTCTCCCCCACATTGGCTTACCAACGAACCTGTAATGAAGAGGCACAGCACACGGGACTGCCTTATCCATGCCCTCATCATAACCTTTGAACCAGCTGATTGATTTCAGCCATGTTTTATAGACAGCAACTTCCTGGTCTTCCATGAAAATCAGCTGCCGGATAGACGGAATTAGCTCTATTGATAGAGTGAGGAAAAACCAGGGAAATCTCAACCCTCTTCTCTTCTGACATCACCTGGCCAGCCAGCTAGCACATGCACTGGTCGTATGAGCTGCGCTGTGTTTTTTGCCTTTCTGAAAGCCCCCCCCCAAAAAAAAAGAAGAAAAATATGTACAGGAGAAGCTGCTGCTCTGGAAAGAGGGATAGGGAAGACAAAGGGAGCTGAATTTTTACAGTGGAGACCTGTACCAGACATAGGATCAGCACTCACAGAGCCGATTAGGATCAGCGGTCACAGAGTGGCTTCAGTAAGAGGTAAAGAAAAGCACCAGTGAAACAAAATGCCTTAAAAAAAAAAAAAGCTTCCCAATATTTTTTCATACTCCACATGAAACGAAAATATGATGAAAATTAAAAAGTGCAGAAAAAAACATGTGCAGATTACATAGAGCTGGGTCAATGCCTGTTCTCCCTATGTTTTCTTCCTGCAAACAGTTCCCAAGAAGTGAATATTTATGCATTAATAAACAAACTTCAAGACCACAGCCAAGAATTTTGCAATTCCCACATCAAGTTAGGATTTACACACAGCTTCACTCGTGGCAAGTTACTGTTGCCCACAGAATTTAATTTTTCACTCTCATTTTGATGTAATAACTCAAAGAAAACAATTTGCATCACAAAATGAGCACACAGTGCAAAGGTGAGACTTTATGCCCCGACATCGTTGTGGGCATAACCTTCATATGCATGAACAGGGCTGTGCCGGTGGGACTGTGTTATGTAGCACAAGAGTCCCAGCAACCTGGAATTACTTCTTTTGAATGAAGAATATGCATCAGTGGATAAATAAACTGAACCCACCTTTTCCCTCCCGATTTAGCTGTGAAGTTTTCCACAGACTTCAGCAGATTCTAGATTATGTAGGTAAAATTTAATTAGCCCCAGAAACCGCAGGGCAGTGGCTCAGGGGAGTGAGCAGGACCTGAACACAGAGGGCCACCTGGCAGTGCACTGGTATGTTCCCGTTATCCTTAGGGATGAAGTATGCGTAACGCCTTGCAATGCAGGCCACACTGGCTATCTGTGCTTGGGTTATTCGTACCAAGTTCATATTATCAAAATAACTTGCATCAGGTAAAAAAAATACTCATTAGAAAGATTATGCCACTAGGGATACCCTTAAGAAACACACAAAATTCCTCATTTAAAAAAATAAATCACATCAGGTCTTTCTTTACAAAATAGGATTTTCTCTTGCAAACTTCATACAACATGCCATTTTGATTAGCTTTTGCAATAAATAGTTCATCAAAGTTAAATTAACCAGCACTATATATATGATATTTGCTTTTTAAATTAATTGAATAATACACTTCTAGGTATTGCTACAACTTAACAGTGAGCAGAAGTTACACATCATTTAACTCTCATTTATAGTCGTTTCTTGTATTTAAAAAAATAATATGATTCTGTCAAAAGTCTGTGTACATGTCTTTGTATATGAATTTTTACTCTCAGGAATGCAGCAAGAAGAAGATAAAGTCAACAGCCCATTTGCTTCTCTTTTGGTCCGAGTGAAGTACAGTTAGGCCTTTTCTGAAGCCAGTACTATTCTTGAATCAGAACCTTCTTGTTCAGAGCCCTGAAGGTGCTCTGTTGTCTTGCTGGCCTCTCCCCCAGTCTCATGATCTGCAACGACAGTTAGCTTGTCACAAGAGAGATGCTCTTCTTGTGGGAATGGAGAAAAAAACTCAGAACTGCTGGGAGGCTTGCTCAAAAACTGTGAAAGAAAGAGGAAATGAGAATTAGGCTGCACCAGCCATACCATCCAGTTTGCTTAAAATATGTTTTGTATTGTTTTCCACACATCAATTGGCTTTATCAATCCCTGTAAGGCCCAGAGTGGTGACAATGTAATAACCCCTCTGCTCACTTTTAACATCCTGTGCAAGGCCTGGCAGGAAGTCAGAAGTGCCTTTACTGCAAGAAGCTACCCCAGGTGTTAGTGACTTCTTCGGAATATAACCTTTCTTTAAAAAAATAAAACAAATAAAACATTTCCAAGCAAAACGTAAAAATGGTGACTCGACTGTAGGTGAAGGAGTTCACACTGAGACTTGTCAAATAGCTCCATGGGAAGTGAATGGTTCCTGCCATCTCAGAGCTGTCTGCTCAGACGTCAAATAGCGATGCTTTAAATGTCAACATAAACCATAACCATTTAGTCAGGTGAAGGAGAGGGAGGGGGATTTGCAGGGCTATGCAGTTCAGTCAGAAAGATGACTTAATTCTAGTACTGAAATATCACAACTTCCTCCCACTCCCTCTTCTTTTGATAAGACGGAACCAGCCTCAAGAATCAACGTGGACTTTGCAGGATGTCAGGACTGTCGTTTGGATGGCAACACAAGACCAGCACACCTACCCAGCACAGTAACACCATGTCAGCCACTCGTTTTGGCAGCCGAAGTGGCAGTTCATTTTACTGGCAGTGGCTGGAGGAGTACAACCGTCTAATGCCTTTACTTTTAGTGCACATTATGTAAGAAACAAGCTGCTCTACAGGAGTCATGCTCACTGTAATTATGAAAATAAATACTAGTATTATTATTATACCTTTTTCTAGCAAACGGTGATTTGAAATGTTCCATCAGTAACCTCCAATCTCAAATGTTCATGAAAGCACTGGCTTTGATAAATCTCATTTTAGGTAAGCACAACCAACCTTTGACTACTGTGATTAACCACTATAACCCACTAACACAAAAGGAAAATTCTCCCTTTCCTGGGAGAAACCTGTGATCAAAATGGAGTTGGGCCACATCCTGTATCGACCACAGCAATGCTACCTTCCCAACGGCTGAGCTCCAGGTTCAGCAAACTACGGTGTGCTGCTCACATGCTCAACTTAAAGCACAATACAACTGCTAAATCAGCTGCAAAGCCTTCGTCTGCTGATCTTTAAATGAGTCACAGTGCAAGACCCAAGAGAAACTGCAGGAGGCTTAGAAGGGTACAGGCTGCTAACTTCAGCGTACGTAACATTCTGCACAGCCTCGCTTCTTGGAGACACTGATAAGTAGCCATATGGGTAGCAAGGTCAGTGGTATTCCCCAAGAGCGATGGCTAACATTCATTGCTCTCATTTTATCTTGAATTTTCAGACTCCACTACAGTCTTAGGTTAAACCCCATTATTACATCTGTGAAAGAACTTTTATTTCAGGAGAACAAATGTCCAGTTTTAAGTCTAAAATGAGATAGCGCGAGACAGATAGCTCTGTTGTTCACTATCTAAAAAGAGGAATTGAAGGTTAACACCTGTTATTCTCTCATTTTAAAATGAAAGAAAACATCCTGTTTCTCAGCCATTTAAAGCTTCATACTACAAACTGGGCAGTTGCTTTAGGAATAGAAGTCTGTGTCAGGTTTTTAACTTGTTCAGCTTTTAAATATTTTTGACCATTTTTCAGAATGACAGGATTTTAGAGTTTATATACATCAGCATACTTCAAAAGGAAGTCTAATTTCACTGCTCCTTACTTATGCCTACACAGCATGGCCACAGAACTCGATGAAAAAGGTTGAGGTAACATTCATGCAAAATTTATGACCTTACAAATGCCAGAAATTAAATATTAAATGAATAAACTTCCACTACCTTTCTCACCCTAAACAGTACCTTCCTTTGTCAGCATTTCCCAAAGTTCACAACTTCACCATTTACGCTTATCTCAATGGTGTTTATGGTTTGGCCAGCGCAACAATTATGTAAGGACAGATAACCAGCATTGCTCCTTGTAGTCTAACCCCCTCCTCAGAACAGTCTGCACTTTACAGATGACTAACAATCAGGTGCAAATGAAAGAAGGCAAAATAAAAGAAGCTCTAAAGGTTTTGGCACAGACAGCCTTTGAAAAGCAGGCATTCTGCTGAAAAGGCTGATTTTAACTACAATAGGTAGAACACAAACCTCTTTCAAGTGTTGTGGGAAGATATATGAAGGGCAGAAAACATGTTTGGTGAGTCGATATAGATACAAGAAGGAAAAGAAACAAACAGGAACAGATATTACAACGACCAACATGGATCCTATAAGAACAGTCACAATTATCCACACAGGAGTTACACCTGCAAGAGACAAAAAAAAAAAGCTATAATTATTAATTTCTGATTATATTTTCAAATTATCATTTTCACTATGGAATTTAAAAAAAAATATAAAATTGTAACTGCAAACATAAGTCTTTCTTTCCGGTGCAAAATACCTCTTAGCTCTCAAATTTTCAGTCTGAATAGGCTGAGGAAGTAAGCTCACAAGCCACCATATTTAGACATTTATAGTTACACATACTGGTGATTCTACATGCAATACTAAGCAAATGATTAAAGGAAAATACCCAACAGAACCATCCACAAGGTGATATTATGTAAAAAGCTATTACCCTCTTCGGGGTTTTGGAAATGTAGGAGTTGACACATAATACTACTGGCATAAATAAATAGGGAATAAAAATTCCATGTAAAATGGCAGCAAAGACAGCAGTGGGCAAGAGTCCATAAAATTCTGACGTACTGAGCCTTTAAAAAAAACTGTCATGCACAGGAGTCTCACAACAGGCAGTGGGAATGAAGATGTATCCATACATCAGTGCATAAATGTTTTAAACCGACCTATGCTTGCTAAGCACTGTTCTAGCCATGAGCTAGCAGGCAACGCCACCACCAAAACCCACTTGCAATTCAACTGCAGTGTATGCAGATAATATACATGTAGGAAAAATAACATGAGGAAACGCTGCGTGAGGAAAAACATGAGAAACATTAGCCCAGTAGCCTCCCCAGGCTTCCTCCACATGGCTTCCTCATCAACCTGTGTCTCTGATTTTCCACAAGTTATCCGATGGCTTAAGTTGCTTGAAATACATGTTATGCCTGTGAGAAAAAGAGTATCTAGGACTCTATCTTTTCTTTTAACATGAGACATAAAGCTCCCTGCTAAGACGACAAAGTCAGACCACGTGGTTGGACTCCACAGACAGCAGCTAAGGTGGCCCGGCTGGAAAGTGCTTTTGGTACTTAACTGCCTTCAAAATAAAAAGGAGAGCATCAGGACGAAGAAATTGTTTATATTATTGATTAATAACTGCTCTGTGTCACAGAGAAAAAGCATCACAGCCTGGCCTCAGGACAGACACTGGCAATATCACCACAGACAAAGCAGACTGCAAGACAGAATCCAATCCCTTTACCAGTTACAGGTATAGGAAACAAAGGCTTTCACAGGATAGTGAATACAGCTGATGGTAAAAGAAATTCAGGCACACAGCATGATTAGTGAAGAGCCTTCACTCCATTTAACTCTGATTTTCAGGCCTCTGCAGTGAAGTAAAGCATGCTGCCATCAGTGGTATTACTGCTTGTAGCTTTCACTTTGTTTCCAACTCCTCTGCTCTAGACCTGTACGTGTATTAACCACCAAACAATACTGAAGTAACAGGCACACCCATTTTTGGAAGGTTTCCACGTTACGCCAATTTTAATTTTCAACTGCTTTTCACATTTCCTAGTTCCCTACAGCGCGTGTTCCAGGTATTACCGTTGTGAGTTGTCTGCTCACAAAGCTCTCCGCTCAGCTTCCCTGTTTTGTTCCACTCGGGGATAACTGCTTGCACTTGAACACAATATATTGTCCATGGCTCCAACCAAGACAGTATTTCAGAGTTATGTTTAGTGTCCATGTGAGTTACCTAATAAGAGAAGAACGCAAAAAATTTGAGAAGAACTAGTCCAGCGAATGGAACAGCTAAGTAATTAAAATCACCTTTGGCAGGACAAATCCTAGCAAGTATTAAGCTGCAGTGTGAATAAGGCTTTTAAAGGCAGAGTGTAATGCCCTGCCTATGTCACATAGCTGATAACCACATTGATTTCACCTCTGGTCAGAGTGTGAGATCACTCACACCACCGACTTTCCAGCTGCTTCTAGCAGCATTAATGAAGTTTTAGGCTAAAGAGGCCTACAGAGACATGATGAAGATCATCTGCCTGCAGAGAAACAATTGCCTAACCAAATGAGATCAACTAAGCGCGCTGTGGCAGACAAACATAATTTAACTTGAGATGGAGCAAGTAGGATGGATGATGTAGGAAAAAAAAAGAGATAAAAAGACAGAGAAAGAAAAAGGCTTGTGGAACCTATCAGATGACTGACAGCTAATGCAAAGAGGCATGATTGGTTATGTCCCTGTAACTATATGGTCCCCAAAGAGTACAGGAATCCCTACAACATGCTCCATTACGTAGTAATGGATTCTTTCTCGGGGTGGGAAGACTCTATAGCTAGGTTTCAACATGTTGAGCAAGCATCTACCTCAAAAAGCAACCTATGTAGTTACATAATCTATGCCTTTTTCCTTATTTGATCCCTATGGAAATTTCCCAGACTTCTGCTCTGTAGTGTTACAAACACAGACTTTACCTGAAGTTCCTGCTCTCTCTGGTAGTCTGCCTACTTTTGCATCCCATATGCAGAAATAGAATAGGTTGGAAATCATTTAGGTTGGAAAAGACCTTTAAGATCATCAAGTCCAACCATTAAGTCCAACTGCCAAGTCCAGCACTAATCTATGGCCCTAAGTGTCTCATCCACAAGTCTTTTAAACACCTCGGGGAGGTGACTTTACCACCGCGCTGGGCAGCCTGTTCCAATGCCTGACAACCCTTTTGGTGGAGAGGTTTTTCCTCACATCCAAACCAAATCTCCCCTGGCCCA